AGCAGCAGCAGCAGCAGCAGCAGCACCTAGAGCACCAGCACCCGCAGTACCAGCAGCAGCAACGTGAACACTTGTAGGCGCGAGCCGCTGCCGCCAGCCGAGCAGCAGCAGCACCTGCAGCAGCAGCTGCAGCAGCAGCGCCTCCAGCAGCAGCAGCAGCAACAGCAGCAGCAGCAGCAACAGCAGCAGCAGCGCCTCCAGCAGCAGCAGCAGCAGCAGCGACACCGACACCCAGGCGAGACTCCCGCGCACAAGCGCGGGCAACCCCAAATCCACTTCAAGCCAAACCCTAAACCCTAAACCCTAAACCCTAAACCCTAACCGCAAGCTGTGACCCAAAAGGGCCCCAAAACAAAAAACAAAAACCCTAAACACTTCTCCAGCCCAAACCCAAAACCAAACAGAAAAACTGCAAACCCCCAGGGGCCCCAAGTAGGGGGTCCCTCAAAGGGGGCCCCCCGGGGGCCCCTCATGGGGGCCCCAATTAGGGGGCCCCCCCTTAAAGGGGCCCCTGAGAGGGGGCCCCCCTTGAAATGGGCCCCTGAAAGGTGGCCCTAATGGGGCCCCCCAGGGGGGCCCCCAGTAGGGGGCCCCCATTTAGGGGGCCCTCTAATGAAGGGGCCCCCTAATAAGGGGGCCCCCAATGGGGGCCCCTGGGGGGCCCCCCAGGAGGGCACTGTGGGGTTTGTGAGGTGGCGTGTGGGGAGAAAGAGGGGCCCCTGAGGACTTGGATTTTGGTGTGTGTTGAGTGTTTGTTTGGAGCTGCTTTTTGTGTCTTTTGGGGGTTTTGTTTTATTTGTTTTCTCCTTTTGTTTGTTCGCGCGGCTGAGAAAAGTTTAATTGTGATTTTAAAAATGAAACGGAGCTCGAGGGGGGCGCAGCGCCGCTCTCGGGGTGTCTGTACACCTCAGGGGCCAGCTCGGGTGTATGGACAGCTGGTTGCTTGTTCGCCTTTTCAAGTTTTCTTGCTTTTTCAAACGGCTTTGCATGCATACATGCATGCATGCATGCGCCTGCATGCATGCATGCATGCATGCATGCATGCAGGCGTGCATGCGCCTCTTTTCTTTTATCGTTTCAACTTCCGCGAGGAAGCAGCTCCCAAAAGTGCCATTTCCTATGCAGACTGGCTCCTCTAAACCCTAAACCCCAAACCCTAAACCCCAAACCCTAAACCCTAAACCCTTTTTGCCCCTTTTCCCTGAACCTAGTTCTTTAGACTTTAAAGCCTGGGCTGTTTTCGCAAGAGTAAAAAGATTTAAATTTATTTAAATGAATTGGATTGAAAAGGACAGCTAGTAGTTTGTGCATGAGGTGTACATACACCCCAGTGGGCAACTGACACCCCACAAAAACGGAGTGAAGCGAACGGAGTTTTCGCTTGTAAATATAAATGCAAAATAAATATAAAATAAATATAAAGTAAATATAAATATAAAATAAAGTAAAAGTAAATATTAATATAAATGTTAATATAGTGCAAGTGTAAATCCTGTTTCAAGTAGAAGAAATAAATGCATGCATGCTTTTGTGCAGGTGTCTGTACACCTGCAAGTATAAAAACGAGTAGGTGGAAATAACTCCAAATAAACGAAAATGAATATAAATAAATATAAATAAATATAAATAAATAAACTAAAATAAATATAAAGAAAACAATCCAAATAATGGAATTATTCCTGGGTGGGTTCATAAATATACTGTGCATGCACTCTTTCAGAGAAGTAAAAAAAAATAAAACTTACGAAAATTGATTTAAAATAAAAGTTTGTAAAAACACACTTGTGCAAAAACCTTCATGTTAAACATCTGGATTTAAATGTGTAAATTAAAAGAATAAAAAAGGAGAAAATTCGCAAAAAGTGCATGCATGCATTTATAATTATTATTAGTTATCTTTCTTCAGAACTTAAGCATTAAATGGCACTTTCTGGCTTTTATGTTTGCAGAAATGCAAATAAAGAAAATACTTTTAAAGAGAGAATAATCGTAAAGAATTAAATGGCTGTAAGCCCCCTTTGTCCGCATTTATGAAAAGAATGAACTCCAAATGGCTAATTAAAACGATTTTAATGATTAAAAAAGCTGGATAAAATGATTTAAACAGTTCAAATGGATGATCAAATTGATTTTAATAATTCAATTGAATAACTAAAATTATTTTTAGCTAAAAACATAATTAAAACGACAAAAAGAGCATCTTTAGAGGCAAATATCCCCCTAGAGCATTTGCCAATAGGGGAAACAAAAATGAAAAAAATAAAATAAAAAACATTTTTTTTTAAGTAAATTTTATTTTCAATTAATTATTTATTTGCTTTCAAGTGTCTTCACTGTGCCGGACTTCTCCTGCATACGCGCATGCAGCCCCAAAAATAAAATGCAATTCGAGTTTTTTTTGCATGCAAAAAGAGACAAACTTTTCAGTAAATGTATTTTATTTAAATCCCAAAATAACTTCAGACCTTTTAAAAAAAATAACGGAAAATAAAAGCCCCCTTTTGCGCAAGTTTCTGGAAGCCTGCGGGGCCTCGGGCTGCAGAAAAGTGCGAAAATTTGAACATTTTTTAATTCTTATTTGCAATTAAATGAAGAATTCAAAATTAATTTCCTTTTTAAATGCATGCGTCTTCAAATAAAAGCGAAAAATGCAAAAAGTCGATAATTCTGAAAAGTGGAAATTCAGATTTTCATTTGACTCGCCGTTTGCACTTGGGGTGTACGTACACCCAAATTTGCGGGTTTCAATTTATTTGAATTTAATTTTTTGTTTTTTATTTCTTTGGAAGTGGCGATAAGTGATCTTTTATTTATTTATTTATTTATTTATTTATTTATTGATTTATTTATTTATTTATTTGTTCAAATGCATGCGCGTGCGCGGCGGCGCAGTTTGCAGTGTATGTACACCTCGGGAGCCTTCAGATGAGGGGTAAAACGCGTGAAGTGAAAATAAAAATAAATGAAATAAAATAAAAAAACATAAATGAAAATAAAACAAGTTTAAATTCAATTGCAAATAAATAAATGCATGCATGCATCTCCCCCACATGCAAGTACCTACAAGCACTTGATTGCTTCAGAAAAGAATTTATTTTTTCAAGAGTTTATTTAGTCATTTAAAGAGTTTGTTTTGTTTTTGAAAATAATATGTTTAGGTCCTCAAATGAGTTTATTTTGCTTTTAAAATGAGTTTATTTGAAACTTGAATTGCTTCATTTAGACGAACTTTTTGCAGTTTTGAAAAAAGATTAAAACAAATACTTTATAGAACTGCTTAGTACAAGTATATTTCTGTAACAGTCTTAAAGCTCTTTTTACTTTTCCTAATAATGGTGTGCTGCTGCTGCTGCTGCTGCTGCTGCTGCTGCTGCTGCTGCCGCTACTGAGATGGCTGAGAGGCAGGCCGCCTCCTTCCGCACCTTCCTGCTGCCGCAGCAGCAGCAGCAGCAACAGCAGCAGCAGCAGCAACAGCACCGAATGCAGCAGCAGCAAACGCAGCAGCAGCAACTGCAGATTACTTCTTTTACCCAGTCCAGCCCTGGGGCCCCCTGGGACCCCCAGAGGCCCCCACTTGTTGCTGGGGGCCCCCAGGGGCCCCCATTAGCTTGTGGGGGCCCCCAGGGGCCCCCATTAGCTGCTGGGGGCCCCCAGAAGTACAACAACCCCACCAAGGCCAGTTTGTATATCTAGGGCCACGGAGTGTATGTACACCCCAGAAAGCCCCCGTAGTTTGTAGTGCAGCAGCAGCAAGAGCGCGCTGCTGCTGTTTTGGGGCCGAGGGTTTAGGGTTTAGGGTTTAGGGTTTGGGGGTTTCGGGTGTACCTCCGCAGCGCAGCAGCAGCGGCAGAGGCAGCAGCAGCAGCAGCAGAGGCAGCAGCAGCAGCAGCAGGGGGGCGGCGGCCTCGTGCTGCTTTCTATTTGTCCAGAGTGGACTATTTGGGGATTAAAAAGAATTAAAAAAAGAAATAAAAAGAAATTAAAATAAAATAAAATTAAGAAGACCAGAAAAGAGCCTCCGCCCCCCGCGGCCCCACCGCAGCTGCTGCACATCAGAGCTGCAGCAGCAGCAGCAGCAGCAGCAGCAGCAGCGCGGGGGCATTTGCCAGTTTTTTGCGGAGTTTTTAAATTAAATTAAAATAAAATAAATTAAAAAAAGAATGTGTGAAAAGCAAGAAGCAGCACAAAGCGGCGGCGCGGCTGGGGAGCGTGGGGGCAGCAGCAGCAGCAGCAGCAGCAGCAGCAGCAGCAGCAGCAGCAGGAGTGACGGTGGGTGCTGCAGCAGCAGCGCCTGCAGCAGCATATTTCTGTTTTTTGCGTGTAAAGAATTAATTTTTATTGTCTTCTTCTTTTGACACTGTCTACTGTTTGCTTCTGGTTTGTTGCTTTTAGTTTTATCTTTTTAAGCTGCAGGCTGCTGCTGCTGCTGCTGCTGCTGCTGCTGCTGCTAAGGGGGACCACTGCCGCTGCTGCTGCTGCCTCCTTCTTTCTTTTCCCCTCTCGCCGCCTTTCTCTGCTGCTGCAGCGGATTCTCCGCGTTGCAGTTCCTCTCGGAGCCAGACACAAACCCTAAACCCTAAACCCTAAACCCTAAACCCTCGAGGGCCCGCAGCTCGGGAGCTGCTGCTGCTGAGAGTGTGCAGCAAAGCAGGGGCCCCCGGGGGCCCCCCAGGGCCCTCTGCGCGCGCACCTTGGCGGCAGCAGCAGCAGCAGCAGCAGCGGCAGCAGCAGCAGCAGCAGCAGCAGCAGCGGGGGAGACGCAGCAACGCCGCAGCGCCCCCTGCAGGATGCTCGTTGGGGTGTACGTACACCTGGGGGCTCGCAGGCAGTTGGCAGCGGAGGCCAAAAAGAAAAAGTCTTTTGTGTCTTTTCGCTGAGCAACCCCACCAAATAAACACACCATTGGAGTTGCTGCAGCAGCAGCAGCAGCAGCAGCAGCAGCAGCAGCAGCAGCAGCAGCAGCAACTGCAGCAGCAGCAGCAGACTGCAGCAGCAGCAGCAGCAGCAGAAGGGCTCTTTTTATTCTTCTTCGGCGTACCCGCGGCGGCGGCCGCTGCTGCTGGAGTGTACGTACACCGCAGCGAGTGGCGAAGTGGTGGTTTTTGGAAATGAACAAATTGCATTTAAAAGGATTTATTTTTGGAAATAAATTGCATTTAAATGGATTTATTTTGGAAAATAAATGCATTTAAGTGGTTTGTTTTCAAAAAGGAGCTGCAATTAAATGAGTTTATTTTTTAACTTGCATGCACTCGCTGCGGTGTACGTACACCGCGCGCAGCCGCTCTCCACAGCCGCTTCGGGTGTCTGCATGCAAAACGGAATTCCGGAATAAATAAATAAATCATTTCTTTAATTCTTTTCTTTTCGAGAAGCAGCTGCCTCGCCACTTGCTGCTGCTGCTGCAGCACGAAAAAATGACGCAGGGAGGCCGGGGCTGCCGGGGCTGTGGCTAGCTGCAGCAGACGAGTAAGGAGCCCTGCTGCTGCTGCTGCTGCTGCAGCAGCAGCTGCTGCTGCGGCCGGTGGCGGCGGCGCTGCTGCTGCGGCCTCCGCTGCTGCTGCTGCTGCTGCAGCAGCAGCCTCTCTTGCTGCAGGCCCCGCGCAGCTCTGCTGCTCTCTTCTTTTTATTATTATTATTCTCATTATTATCACCATTATCACTATTATTATTGCCATTATTATTATTATTATTTCTTTGAATTTAATTTCTTTTTAAATCTCCTCTGCATGGCCCGAGGCTCCCCCAGGCCGTCCCCGGGGGGGGGGGGGCCCCCAGGGGGGCCCCCCGGGGGGCCCCCCGGGGGGCCCCCGGGGGGCCCCCTAGACAACCAAGAGGGCCCCCGACTGCAGCGGGACTTCTACGATATGGCCCCAATAGGCAAGGGAGGGTTTGGAAGGGTTTTGAGGGCCCGACACAGACTGGACGGGGAGGTCTACGCAATTAAAATCATACAGGTATTGCTGCTGCTGCTGCTGCTGCTGCTGCTGCTGCTGCTGCTGCTGCTGCTGGTGGTTTGCTGCTGCTGCGGGTGGGGCGCGGGCTGTGGGTCGTTGGGAGGGCGGGCGCTGGGCTTGCAGAGAGCTGCTGGCTTGCTGCTGCTGCTGCTGCTGCTGGGTCGCCGCCCCACCGCTGCTGCTGCTGCTGCTGCTGCTGCTGCTGCTGCTGCTGCAGTTCACAGTGGACGCGCGGCACCTGGAGAGCCGCACGGGCCGCTTCTTAAGAGAAGTCCAGTGCCTTCGGAGACTTAATCCAAACCCCCACATTGTGAGGTACTTTTCTTCTTGGCTGGAGACCAGGGCCCTTCCTGCGCAGCGGGGGGCCCCCACGCAGCAGCAAACC